CCATGTCCCACAGCACGTTCCAGCTGGGAAGGGGGGGAGGAGGGGGATGTGCCACACACACACACGTGGGTACGGAATGCAGTGAACCACGGATGTAGTCCTCACAGCGCACGTGCACCGCCATGTCCCACACCACGTTCCACCTGGGAGGCATGGACGCGGGGAAACGATCGGGTTGAGCAGCAGAGGGGGATTGAGAGGGGAAGTCAAAGCGCATAACCGCCATGGAGGAAGTTCTGCCTGCAAGGCAAGGCACGGAGAAGGCGGGAGCGATGGCAGAAAGTTAATCATGGAGAGAGAGGGGCGATGGATGGGGTTGAGCAGAGGGGAGCGATGGGATGAGATGAGGTGCATCACAGAGGACGTCAAAGCGCACCGCGACCAGAGGCAGCCCTCCCTGACAGGCAGACGGCCCTCACATGAAGGTGGCCCTCACAGGCAGGCGGCTCTCACAGGCCTCACAAGCAGGTGGCCCTCACAGGCGGCCCTCACTCACAGGCGGATGAGGCGCAGTAGTCGCAGCAGACCGAAGGCGGAGAGGGCGACAGCAGCGGTGCCGGTGGGTTGATACACGCCCTTGAGCACCAGATCCCATGGCAGCGCTGCTAGGATGTCGTACCAGAACATGCCCCGTAGGTACCTGAGGGAGAGAGGAAGAGAAGAGGCATGAGAGGAGGGGGGGGAAAAGGGTAAGGAACAATAAAGGGGTAATTATAAGGACGACATATGGATGGTCACACTCAGCAGTGGGAGCACGTACGTGTAATGTAAGTGGAACTCAAAACGAGGGTTTACATTTGTCCTTGCAACAGTGCTGACGTCAGCACTCGGGAAAGTGAGTTTGTGTAGGGCGAGACAAAAACGACGGGGAAGGTCTCTGGCGAAAAATGGTGCTGACGTCAGCACTCGGTTCAGAGTCTTCTTTTTTTAACCCACGAGGGACAAATGTGGACCCTCGTTTTAAGGAAAATGAGAAAGAGTACACATGCTTACTCTACGGCAATGCTGGCGAGGCTGGTCTTCCACTCGCCCATTCGGAACTCGGGCACAAAGAAGCTGAGCAGCACGTCGCTCAGAAACACCTGCTGGGCAAGAAGGGGCGAGAAGGGGCAAGGGGCGAGAAGGGGCAAGGGGGGCAAAGAGGAGGACGAAGGGGCGGGAAGGAGGTCGAGGGGGGGTGAGGAGGGGGGCGAAGAGGGGCGAGGTGGGCTGAGAGAGGGCGCTGGGTGGCAAAGGGGGGTGAGGAAAACTGAGGCAGAGACACAAAGGGAAGCACATGAAATGAGAGTGTGTGCCATCAAAACAAAGAGCAGCACGTTGCTCAGGACCTCAAGGAGAGGATGGAGCGAGGAGAGGTTGGGGAGGGGGCGATGAGAGGCAGAGACACAGAGGGCGAGGCAATGAGCGTGATCAGGCCGGAAAAAGAGGGAATCAGTGTGCACAAGAAGCGGAGAGGGGAAGTGATGGCTCAGGATAACTCTGCTGCCCTGATGATAAGGACTCCACTCCATGGCACGGCCCACCCCATCCCGCACTTAAACCCCGAATTAAGCACTCACGGCGTCGGTGCAATAGATAAACACATTGACTGGCGTGAACACATTCTCTGTATCGAGGAACGCGACGTTGAAGGGCTCAACGATGCCGATGAGGATGGCGAGCAGCAGCAGCGCCGCCTGGAACTGCTGGTACAGCGATGCCTGTGGGCTGATCACCCAGTCTGACAGATACACCGAATCTGGCCCGCCCTCGCCCCCCTCGCCCTCCCCTGCCGCCTCGCTTGATGGCGGCACCTCTGAGATGGCCTGAGGGCGGGATGGGATGCAGTGCGGTGGGGTGGGGTGTGGGTGGGATGGGTGGGGTAGTGTGGGGCGGGATGGGTGGGGTGGGGTGGGTTGGGGTGGGGTGGGGTGTGGATGGGATGGGATGGGATGGGATGGGATGGGATGGGATGGGATGGGATGGGATGGGATGGGATGGGATGGGATGGGATGGGAAAAGGGTCAGACACTGGGGAGTGCGGAACAAACAGCACAAATTTACAGCAAGCGGGCGCGTCCCAGCCCAAGCATTCCAACCCAAGCATCCCAGGCAGCTTCGACTACTGACCTCGAACATACTCCCGCTGTACATATCCCCCCGGTGAAAGCTACTCTCCGGCGTGACATTCAAGCTGTTACTCCCGCTGCCAAAGCTCCCCGCACTCCCGCCACTGTCGGCACGGGACAAACTGCGCCGGCCACTCCCAACGCTACCTGCCGCCCCAGGCGGCAGCAGGTGCTGTTGCGAGGCGAGGGAGTCGTCCGAGCCAGACCCTTTGCGGCGGCGGATGGACTCGAATCGCAGCATGCAGGCGGACTTGTGCAGAATGGCCCTCAGCTCGGGGGACTCAAGCGGTGCCAGTCGGGAATGCAGGGGCTGGTGGTGGAGAGGGGGGGGGGGGGGGGAGACGGAGGGGGGGCGAGGAGGTGAGGGGAGTTGGGGGATGCAGGGGAGGGGGAAGGAGAGAGTTGTGGTGGTTGCAGGGGGGCCTGCCAGCTTACAGGGGGAACGGAAGGAGATGAGACGGAGGGGAATCTGTGAGGCGGAGAGACGGTGGCACGAGCGTGCGGAGCGGATTATGAGGCGGGTGATGGCGAGGCGGGTGATGGCGAGGCGGGTGATGGCGAGGTGGGTGATGGCGAGGCGGGAGATGGTGGGATTCAGCAAGAAGGGTGTGACTTAGGGTTAGATGAATGAATGGGAGAAGTGGGGGAAGAGGGGCGAGGGGCAAGTAAAGTAGGCGAGCTTTGGATAGAAATCCATGTCGGGGCGGACCTCCACGCATCGTCCTTCAGTTCGTTCCACAGCAAACATCCGTTCCTCTTTATTCACCCGCCTCCCTCTGTCTCCAACTCCCATTCTGTTTCCCTCAATCTCTCCCCCTGTACCCCTTCCCTCAAACCCTCCCCCCCTCTTCCCCTCTCCATCCCCCTATACCCCTCTTCAAGGTTCAAAAATACGGTTTTCGTAAAAAACGGTCCGTTTTTTACGGTAATTTTCAAAAAAAACGGCGTTTTTTGTTTGAGAACTGTTGTCACCAAGAAAAAAAGGGAAAAACAAGGTCGAATACATTTTCAATCATGCCCACAAGCGCACGCATGCAACTAGGGGTTCGTCCTCTTCATCCTGGTACCTTTCGCCATCAATTTGGTCCCAGAAATCGGCCGATTTCTTCTTCAAACGAAACCACCTTCTGGTACCCTTTTTACCGTTTTTTACGGGAAATTTTCAAAAAAGCGACGTTTTATTTAACCTTGTCCCTCTTCCCCTCGCCACCTCTCCCCCTCTCCGCTTGCCCCTCTCCCCACGCTCGTCGCTCCCCCACACCTGTCCCTCTCCCCACTGCTCAAAGGCAAGCTGCACGCACCTGTTCGAGCCCATCAGCGGGATCAGCGCTCATCCCTCTCTCCACTGCCCGCGCCATCGCCCACGGTGCGCTCCCCCTTTCCTCCACCTCCGCGCCTCTCCCCACAGCACCCCCTCCTGCTGGCCCCACGCCTGCCGCCCCCTCGCCGCGCATGTCAACGGTAAACGCGAATGCCTCGTGCCTGCTGTACGCCGCAACCGGCGCCGAGGTCGGCGCCGCAGCAGACGCCGCAACAGGCGCCGCGATTGGAGCCGCAAATGGCGAGGCGGACGGGCTTCGACAGTCCCTGTCTGTGGCTTCTGCATGAAAGGCCCAGTTCGATGCTGAAGTGGATTGCGGAGAACGTGCCATCTGGACAGGGGATACCGTCGCTCCCGACCCTGTCACTGGTGCTAATCCAACGGTTCCTGGTCCTTCAAACGCGGGAGGTGTAGGCAATCCTACGGCCACAGCTGACGATGATTCTACGGCCCAGGAGGGCCCGCTGCGATTGCTACCTGTCGATGCCGTTCCTCGAATGAAACCGGGAGCAATCAACGGCTGGTGCTCCTCCTCGCGTGGTTCCATCTGTCACGGCTTCCAGATGATACGTTACGAGTTGCAAATGATCGCTCACGACAAGCGCGGAGGAACTGTACCGGCAATGAGCTCAAGTCAATCTGTTACGGAGTACAGATTGAGTTGTCACGACTCAAGGCGATCCGAGAACCTCTGCAGGTAATGGGTATACGAGCAGAGTGTTGCGCTACTAAGGACAGTCAAACGCCGGCAACCCTAACTCGCTAAAGCGTTCTCGTTACGGAAGAGACAGCGCGCACACGCTAGTTCCACCTGGCTGCCGCCTGCTTATCGTCCCCATTCCTTGCTCGCCCGTTTTACACGCCGTAAGTCACGGTGATCGGCTGTGCAGGCGAGACAACTCATGCCACAAGGTATTTGATGTTGCATAGAGTCCAATCGATGTCATTTGATTATAGAGGTGGAGAGCAGCTTCGCTTACAAACACGCGCGGTTATGTTCGGTTTGAAAACATTCTACACGTTGCAATGAGGTTGACTCAGCATGACCTCCACTGACAACAGGCAACAGGAGGAAGCGGGGGAAGGGGAGAGATGGAGAGGCTCATTCGGTTCTTCCCCCCCTACAGGAGGTACACCTGCAGTGACGCGGCGCGGAAGCCTGGAGGGGTGTTAGTTCCTTTGGAGCAACGCGCGCCGTGAAACCACCATAGCAAGCAAACCAATCAGCAACCAAGGCCACGTAGGTCGATGGGTTCCCAACCATAGGACACGCTGCCAGGTCGAGGGTCTATTAGGCCTTGACGTGCCTCCCGCACTACTGCCGACTTGACCACCACCGGCGTTGATGCCCGCGTCGACGCCGCCCTCAGTGTTCACCGGTCGAGGAGAGACAGGCCAAGGAGGGTGCTCCGTTGCCCACACGGCACGGATGCTAGCCTCGCCGACCGCCCAGGGCAGGTCGCCATACTCGTTCGCCTCGTGACGTCTCCTCGCGTTCTCCAGGCCGTGCCTCCAGGGTGTCCACCACCCCCGTGTCAACTACGGCGCCTACCATAGTGAATACCGCACAGCTGTCGGCCTACGAACACAAATTAGGTAAGTGACCACTACGTCGACCTGACTGAAAGGTAAGTCGTGTGCCTTCCACGCTCACCGCACCATGCGGAGATAACTCTATCAACGAGAGCTAGAGTACGGGCTAGGCACGGGGTAGGAGGGATCTATGTGTTCGTTCACTTAGTTGTTCTTTTAGCACTTGTGCGTTCACAGGGCAAAACCGCAAGAGTTTCACTAGCAAAAGTTGAGAACAATGAGACAATCAAGTTTGCAAGACAAGACTACATCAGAGCTAGCATGCAAGCAGGTCGACTGCCAGCGCAGCATGGTCGACCGCGTTCCAGCACGACTTGGTCGACCGCGCTCCAGCAGTACAAAGTTGCGGCTTGCCAACACTGCAAGTCCACGGCGTGCCAACGTTGCATCCGCAGAATAGCAGCGCACCCTGCTCCGCGGATGCTCGCAGATGATTGGCGTGCCGTGCCTTGTCACATGCACAGCGCATTCACCAAATCAACCTGGCGCTGACGACTGCACCTGATCAGCCACGTCGACCTCGGGATACCACACCGAGGTCGGCCTCGCCACTAACACCTGGGCGACTGACGCGTGCCTCCGTAGAACTTTGTTGCCCAAGTAACTTGGTCGATCGGGCAACCATCTCATCGACCAACTTCTCCTTGTGCCCGTCGACCTCTCTAGTTGACGACCACCTTCAATCGACCACACCAGGTCGATTTCACTCCTGGTCGGCCGACTCCAGGTCAGCCAGCACACCTGTCAGCCGACCACCCACGTCGGCTTCCCCAGGTCGGCGTCGCCAAGTCAACGTCCGAAGTCGGCGCCTTTCAACCCGGCGACATGCTGCTCGACGTCCCCCCTGTCGAGGTCGACGTCGGCCCCTCCTCCGTGGACCACCAAGTCGACCACCCCAAAGTCGGCACCAAGAAGTCGGCACCAATGCAGTGGCCCCCGCGCAGGTCGACCACCCTCGTCGACCAGCTCGCCCACTGCTGCAGGTCGGCTGCACTCCCCCGTACACCCGACCACAAGGTCGGCACCGCCCAAGCGAGGACGGGGCCACACCCAACTCCCGTTGACAGTTAAGCATGTTCCTAGTAAGACCAGAGTCGCGGCTCATAGGCTCGTGTTACAGCAAGGGTGCCTTCAGTTGTTGTTTTCCCTTCTGCAGGGTGTGATTGGGGTTTTCCCAACTGGCCAATCCCTCTGCCATCCCGTGGCCATTCGCCTCTCTTGGGAGGTTGGCGATGGGGTGGCACTGGCATGACAATTTGCTTGTGAAGGAAAACGCGGGGAGTCTTCGAACCCTTTTGTTGTCGTCAACAGAAGGCATGTTCTGCAGCCTATGCCATGCCGTTCTGGTTCGGACGGCATCGACAGGCTTGACGCGATTTTTTTTGCCTGCCCCCCAAAAAGTCAACGTTTTCGCAGCTTCACTGCACATTCTTCCAACGGCATCAAATGCCTGGGGTGCCGCCTCATTCTCATGCCTTCGCGCTAGCCCCCAGGTCACCTCGGGTTGAACCAGCGCAAGCTGAACCCCATCGCACCCGGCACCACCCGAACGGACTGCAACATCCCCAGCTCGTCGGCTGCAACCCGCGACTGCCGCTGTTGAAGCATCTCGTCGAATGCGCTGTAGCGAGCAATCGCAAGCGCGCGCGGCGCGAGGTGCATTTGGCCGGCGACACCAGGCCAGTGCAATCTGCAAACAAAAGTAGGGGTGAAGGGGGACATACAAAAATTAGAAGAAAAAACAGAGAACAGAGAACAGAGAAGGAACGAGGGAAGGAGGGGACACAAGAAAGAAACACTCATGGCTCGTGAATGCAACTTCGTGACAACCAGCGCCGCCACACCTCACAAGTTCCGCACATGGCGGCGGCGAAAGTTCCCCATGCTGTCGCGGAAGTGCCTCGCTTGCCGTGTGAGGCCGGCGAGCGATTGGCCAGTCGAGCGCAATGCGCCAATCGTGATAGTCGCTCTCTGCAAGCAAAAAACAACGTTAGTAGGAAGGAACAGGAAAGCGCGGACGAATGAAGAGACTTCGCGTTTCCACAGTTCTCAACTTTGCAACTAGATGCAACCTCTAACACTGAAGGACACGTCGACGACGTTACGAATAGTGAGACAACCAGCGCTTTTACGCCTGGCGCACAGCGGAAAAAAAAGACCGGGGCAATTCAATGGCTTGTCATAATGTTATAGTGCTTACATTTGTGTAGGCTGTAGTGGGGTAGCCCATAAGGGGTACAACCCAATTGGGGTTAGTACTTGTACCCAAATCTTTCATAGTTCATTCATTCTCGTTCATTCTTCTGACATGGTTTCAGAGCAAGTCCTTCGCTCGGACCGTTTTTTTTTCCTTGGGCCCACCACTGTGCTGCCCCACTAGCCGCCCCTAGGCCGGCCCATCGCCCCTAGGCCCGTCGCCCCGGCCCGTCGCCCCTAGGCCCGTCGCCCCTAGCCCGGCCCGTCGCCCCTCGGCCCGTCGCCCCGCCCCGGCGCTCCGAGGCCCGTCGCCCCTAGGCCGGCCCGTCGCCCCTAGCCCGGCCCGGAGGCCCGTCGCCCCTAGCCCGGCCCGTCGCCCCTAGGCCCGTCGCCCCTAGGCCCGTCGCCCCTAGGCCCGTCGCCCCGGCCCGTCGCCCCTAGGCACGTCGCCCCTAGGCCGGCCCGTCGCCCCTAGCCCGGCCCGTAGGCCCGTCGCCCCTACCCTGGCCCGTCGCCCCTTAGGCCCGTCGCCCCTAGGCCCGTCGCCCCGGCCCGTCGCCCCTAGGCATATCGCCCCTATGCCGGCCCGTCGCCCCTAGCCCGGCCCGTAGGCCCGTCACCCCTACCCCGGCCCGTCGCCCCTTAGGCCCGTCGCCCCGGCCCCGTCGACCCTCGGCCCGCGCGCCCCGTCGACACTAGGCCCGCGCGCGCCCCGTCGCCCTAGGCCCGCGCGCGCCCCGACGACCCTAGGCCCGCGCGCCCCGTCGACCCTGGCCCCCGCGACCCGCCCCCGTCAACCCTCAGCCCGGGTGCCCCGTCGACCCTAGGCCCGTCGCCCTAGGCCGGCCAGACGCCCTAGCCCGGCCCGTAGGCCCGTCGCCCCTAGGCCCGTCGCCCTAGCACGTCGCCCTTAGGCCCGTCGCCCCTAGGCCAGCCCGTCGCCCCTAGCCCGGCCCGTAGGCCCGTCGCCCCTAGGCCAGGCGCCCCGGCCTGTCGCCCGACGCCCTACGTCCGCGACCGATGCTCCTATGCCCCGGCCCGTCGCCCGTCGCCCCTAGGCCCGCGCCTGTCGCCCCTAGGCCCGCGCCAGTCAACCCCAAGCCCTGCGAGCCACCCCTTCCGGCCTGCCCCTTGACCCTGCAGCGCGCGAGCCGCCCTTGCAGCCCCGCGCGCCGCCCCTGGTGGCCCACTCACCGCCCCTGCTACTCTGCTAGTCGCCCCTTGCGGCCCTCTCACTGCCCCTTTGTTGCTGCCTGCCCTGTGCTCTGCGCTGCTTTGCTTCTCCTCGCTTTGCGTGCTGCGCCACTATGGCCTCTCTCTGCGTGCTAGCGTTCGATCATGAGGGACGCCCCCTACAGTTTGACACGTGGCTCAATGACCTGCAGCTGTACCTACTGAGCGACTCTAGGGACAGCGTTTCGTTGTTTGACCACACGTCTGACGCCGCGCCCGCCCCTCCCGCCACAGCTGACAATGCGGCCCACTCACAGTGGCTTACTCGCGACGCTGCTGCCCGCTTAGCCATTCGCAACCACCTGCCAT